CAAGCAGCCAGCCAGTGCTATTGGGCTACAGAGGCATTTGCTATTGTGTGGTGGTTTCAGAGACGTCTATGTTCAACATTGTTCAACCTTTTCTTGGGGATTGAGCCCACTGACACACTGACCAAGTGAGTTGAGGCCACCAACCAGTGTTGGCTCCTACCGACCGACCCGATCGGTCACTCACGTGCGATGGGGCTGAACATGCTGCTGCTTCGCCCATGGTGATCGTATCCCTATCGCCTATCCCCCCCTGGGCTGAGAGAGAATGCGTTCACACGCTTGGGGTTCCCTACTTCCTCCGCGCCCTCGGTGAGGCAAGAGTGACCTGTGCAGCGCCTACTGCATCAACGATCACAATCCTTACTGCTACACTCCAGAGGCGATCCACGTCGGACGATCCATGAAAAACTGGATGGGACGAGGTTTCACCGGTCTGCACTCCGGGTGCAGGGCATGGGTTTCACACGCCTGGCTGGTGTTGATTTGGGATGCATAAAACGCATAAAAGCCCGAACGCGAAAGACATAAGCCCTACCTGAATGGAGCAAGCTACCGCTGCTCCTCCTCCTCCTCCTTCTCCTCCTCCTCCTCCTATATCCTCCTCCTCTACGTGTTACATCTTCTTACTATGAATCTGTGTGTAGCTTCAAGTCGGTTGATCCATCGACCCAAGTCGTCTTCGACCAAGTCCAGACCCATCCACCATCATCCACCACACCACCCAGGACCGACACGCGGTGGACTCGATCGAGGTCGTGGACGTCGGTCCCCGGTCGGGTTGGTGCTTTTGACTTCGGCCGGGGGGCCGGAGTTCTGAGTTCGCTCATGTCGACAGGTGTCTTCACCCTCCGTTCGACAGGTGTCTTCAGCTCACATCCCCCAGCTTGAAGATTGTTTTAGAATCGCCGGCAGGGGGGATTCGATTCATCAAGAGTCGAACCATTGGTCATGGGGGTCTCCCAGGACCTGTACCAGTCGGTCATAGATGAGGATCACTCAGTTTGGAGAAAGATTTGCAACTGAACCATCATCATCCACTAGACCCCGGTGGGATACACCTCTACAACCTTTACATACCTCTACATACCTCCATCTCGAGGGGAGTTATCTTTCACCTTGGAACGGGTGGAAGCACTGTGGAGCTTTTTTGGGGGCCTCGAAAGGCTGGTCTCCAGAAATCCAGAGATTGCACAGACCCATCAAGAATCCGGAATCCTTCTCTCATGAGCGGAAAACCTTGTCTCAGGTTCCCACGCAAAAAAACTCGCCCGGGACAACCTTGTGTCGTTCTTTCCGCAGGGTTTCATGCAGCGGATGCAGCAGCGTCTGTTGGAGGGTGCTCCGGAGGTCTTGAGTCTCTTCGCCGCGCGCCCTGTCCGCGAGCCCGATCCCAGCGTTTGGCGCCGTTCGGGGCTGGGCGGTGGAGTTGGGGGCCCCAAGTAGGAAGTGAGTGAAGAATGGGCACCTCTACTCTCCAACAAGCAGGGTCAGTAGACTTGGTTCATTTTGGCCATAGGTTGAGAATGATGAGAATTGAGTGAGCAGTCTTCCGCCTCCGGGAAGTTGGTTCATTCTACTGGGTCGCTCCAGCCCAACATCTACTCAAGGGAGTGAAAGTGGCGCTTCAACATGTGCCTTTATAGGGGTATGTAGAAAAAATACGGAGACCTCCCATAGATTCCCTGGAAGAAGCAACATGTTTATGGATACCCGACCACCAATGAGAACCCCTTTCACAGGTGTCCGACGGTTCTAGATGTGCGGGATGAGGATCGCATCTTCGCACATGGGGGGTGGACTAGGAGCAAGTAGCTACTAAGCTACTAGGGGCTCCTGGCCTTACTACTAGGAGCAAGGACGCCACTAGGGGCTTCTGGGTGGACGGGTTGGATCCTGGGCGGGGTTGGAGGTCTGGACCCTACACCGGTCATGACTCCTGGATGGGGTTTTCCAACCACTTCTCCAAATGTCGCGCACTTCAAGCCAACGGATGTTGCTGAGTACCAAAAGGGGTCCAACTCCTATGGTGGTTTCATCACAGTCTACTACAGTGGTTTCAGAGTAGATGGCACAGACCCCAATATGTCCTTTATATGGGGGTCCATATAAACCACCTCTTGGGGTCTGTGCCATCTACTCTCAATCCACTATATTTGTTTCCTTTTCTCCGTGGTGCGAGGAGTGGTTTCTCCATTCCGGTGGATTCCTTCCCCGCGCAAAGCGCGGGTGGAAGAAAGCCCGTCCATCGAAGCTGTCCTCCGCTCAGCATCGCTCGCCAGGAATCCCTTCCCAAACAAGCCTCCAGCGCAAGTGAGGGCCAGGAGCCTCAGGAGAACCAGCGCCACACGCTCGACTTCAGAGACAGTTTGGTGATGTTCGATGGTTTCAGGAATGTGTTGGAGCCAGGTATTAGGTAAATCCATGGTATATATACCAAGTTTTTTTTTAAAGTTTGTTGCAGGTGGTGCCAACGTCCTCCTTCATTGAAGCCTCAGGAAAGAGTCGGACAGTGATTCACACGACGTGGAGTCCACTGCTCCACGTCGCTCGATCGGAGGGACTCGTGACTCGTTCCCCATGCTCCTCGGACCCCACCTGACAGAGGGGTCCTCGGCCTCCTGCCGAAGGGTTTTGTCACCAACATTCGAATTCCACGTGGCCCAATATGGCTGTGGACTTAGGATACAAGGCGACAGGGGACTGTGGGACTGTGGGACCCTTAAAGGATAAGGTTGACTTTCATTAGTAACTGCAATCGTCTCTTACATTTAAAGCTTTCACCACCTGTCGAAGCCAAAATCAAACAGTTTTCTTGGCAATTGACACTTCTCATGAAAGAGGTTCATGGAGAACATGGAAGTGGACTGTGGGCGAACATGATCTTTACTACTTCACTTCATTGCGGCTCAATAAACCCTCCTCCCTTTAAATGAACACCCCCGGGGCTCCCCTGGTTGAGTTCTTGTCAAAACCTGGTTGCCCCAAGGTTGACCTTATGTCGGGAGAGCCTGGGGCCTGGGGTTGGCAGACTTGCTTTCCTGGGAAAGAGGACCCACCCAACCATGAACCACCGGGTGCTTCTAGGACCAAGTTCTTCCTCAAGCAGAGGTTAGTTCGCTGCTCGTGCCGGGCTTTTGGATCCGACTCGGGTTAGTCAGCTTTATCAGTTCCATTCTTCTTGGACCACGGGTGCCGGCCTGCCTAGAATTGGGCCGTAGATGGGGGCGGCCAGTGCCATCTACGGCTGTAAGCCTGCAGAATCACTGGGCACACGGGGCACCTTAAATCAGCCTGCGCACGGGCAGGAGCAACTTCAAGTGTTGCACAACAATGTTCTATGGGCTAAGACTCCTAGAATTGGTGTTAAGGGAAAAAATCTACAGGGAAGCCGTAGTTTTGGAGGTGAAGGCCAGGGGTTTCTACAGATTTTCTGTCAAACTAATTCATTGAACGACGAGTCGAACGAAAGCCGTTGCCGAAGTGATTGCCCAGAAAGGGCAGCCAACCCACCTGCCAGTCTTTTTCTTCCACCCAAACCCAGTCTTCACCAACTTTAAAGTTTATGGGGGTTCCCCTCGGAACACCACCACGAAAACCAGGGCCGCCCTGCGCCCACACCGTCAACCCCTTTTGACCTATTGTAGACTCTTGACTGTATGTCAACCCCATTCAAGACCCCACATGAAGAGGCTTTACAATCCAATCCAAGGGAGGAGGGTTTGATCAATCCAGGAGTCTCCACCTTTCCCTTTCTTCTTGAACAATACATCAACACATCCGTGGGTGGAGTGGACTCGACGTTCAACGTTCGGCTCGTCAGGTGGTGATCAAAGGCGTGAGCCCCACCAGCTTGGAGGACCACAAAGCCACGGGGCACCTTGGACGAGAAGTGCCTCGCACCGCGCAGGGAGGGCCAGCGATCACCGGGGAGAACGGGGAGGTGCAAAGGAGGAACGGTCTGGACAGCGAGGATAGATCCGCTGGCCGGGTTCCAACTCCTAAGAGAGCTTCGAGATAGCCAAGCTCCTAATTAAAAAAGAGGGGTCCAGGTGGCCAGGTGGGAGCACAACATGGGAGAGGATTTGGCCGCCGGCCCATTTCCATGGAAGCCTTTTGGAGAAAGATCGTCGATATGTCCACACTGGTTTGCTTCGAAAACTCTTGCATCTCTTGCTGGCAAGTTCAAAACTCTTGCCAGGCTCTAAGCAGGAAACAACGAGTTTTTCCATTCTTCTTCCTTGTATGGTCCAACTGCGTTCCTGAGGGATGGACCGACTCAGGCCAACCCAGGCCGACATATCACTTGATTTCGTTCGGCCGTGCATCCGGCTCATTGGAGATGCAGCTCAGCCGCTGAGTCAAGGCCGACGCGGAAACCAAATCACAGAAGTTGAAGCAAGTCTTTGGCATCCAAACGCATGAACATTAAGATGCTGTACATTAAGGAATTAATTAGGTGGACACAATCATTATATACGCTATAAAGCGTAATAGCAAAGAGTTCCGATTGAATCTCTGTATTTCTCTACTTAAATATCTCAGCCCCTCTACAGTATAAAATAGGAGTTGTAGATAGAAGGAAAAAGGAACTAAATAGAAACACTCGACATCTCATTACTGTATAAAGGTACAGTGGTTTCAGAGTAGATGGCACAATCACCAATGTCGGTGGTTTATATGGACTCCCCAGCTTTTCAAGACATGTAGGGGTGGGTTTGTGCCATCGAGCCTCTGAAACCGCTCTAAGCTTTAAATGATCCCAGATCCTATCAGCGATGATCGGGTGAAGGACTCACGTCGGACCTCGGATAGAAACTTCGTCGTCCTGGCGTCCTTTTCGGATGTGATTCGAATTCTTAGCTATACTTGGATGTTTCAATCGTTTCTTGAGTTCAATCTATTGTGCCAAGATGATCCTAGTATCATCCTAATTAGTCGACTCCAAAAAGAACACTGCTCTTACACGTGGTCTATCCGCGCAGAAGATTTTCACACCTGCCATGAAGAAGGGATTCCTCGCGCAGCCGTCCACGCGCGCCCACCGGGCTGAGCCGCCGACTGCCACGCGCCACGGCTACGGCGGCGACGTTGGACGCCAGGGAGGTCTGAAAGGAGATGCGAAGGCAGGGCAGGTGAGTCAGATGCGGCAGATTTTGGGGGGGTTGACACTCCATGTCAAGCATGGAAATGGACTATTTTGCTTTTAATGCCCTTTCTCAGAGTTGCTTTTTGGGCGAGTCCGGTTCTTTTAGCCGTGTGACATCTGCCCAAAATGTCCGGGCTTCCGCCGGAATCGCCTCGACTTCCGCTTCCGGACGCCTGAAGAGGCCGTTTCCGGACGCGCGGAACTCCAGCTCCGCTGCCAGCAGCAGCCGGTGGACGCGCTCCGTGAGCTGCTGCGGAGCTCAGGAGCCGAAGAGGGGGTGTGGGAGATGGTGGAGGAAGCGCTGCAGGTGCGGGATTTGAAGCGAGGGACGTGGGGTGACGTGACGTGACGTTGGCATGGAACAGCTTTTTGCATATTTTTGCATATTTCTTACGGTATATAAATATATAAGTATAATATTTATTTATATATCTATATATACTCTTCTTTGGGAGGGGGTTCTGAAAGAAAACCCGGGTGAGGAAGCTTTTTCTGCCTGCTTGTTTCTGTGAGGCCGGCCCTCTAGGCCAGTTCGAAGCGATGCTTTTGGAGCTGGGCGCTCTGTCCAAGATGAGTTCCTTGGTGCGGCCCCGCGCTTCTCGGGCAGACGCGGTCGAGGTGCGGAGCCGTCGGGCGCTGGGTGCAGCTGAGTAGGTCGCATGAGGCACCGGTCGTAAGCGGCAGTCGGTCGGTGTAGGGTGGATTCAGGATGATCGAGGAGGTCTAAGACCTCTTTAAAGGGCCGACTTCTAAAGGATTTGAGATGTTATTTTTGAGCTGTTTCTTGTGCATTGTTTAATTTTCGAAGGCTCCCATCAGCTTAAAGGACTTCAGAAGGTACTTAGACTTATGTCCGCCAGTTAGTTAATCTCTATGGGAGTGTGTGAAAGTAAAAGTGCAGCACAAGTGCAGAAAAAGTGCATGCAAGAAGAGCAAACAAAAATAATCACTTTCAAGAACAGCACAGCAAAAGCAAAACAATCAAAACAAAAGCACACAAAAACATCAAACCAGCATTTCAAGAATCCCGAAAAGAAACACCACCAAGAAATGAAACAAAGGTAAGAACAGAGCAGATCTTCTCAATAATTAAGTCAGACAACAGGTATTTTGTGAACTGCCGCACATCTCACATCATGCTAAATTGTGGCAACCTGAAGTGGTTCATTTGGTTCCGCAAACTTGCTGCGTGTTTTCGTGAAGCGTCTGAAACGTTGAAGATGGCACGTCGATGCTTCCTCAGAGCTTAGACTGGACCAGGTGATCAACGAATGAATTGAGACTGCAGGCCTCGAGTTTCATTTGTTGGCCTGAACGTAGGCCATGTGTGGTGTAAGTCTTAGAGAATCTTAGAAAAACCATGACCCACCAAACTTATGCCAAACACCTCCTCGCGAGCCTTTGGTTTGTCCTGTGTTTTTCTCCGAACAAGTCAGAATTCCATGGGCTGAGGGAGTTGGAACTTGATGGGGTGAGGGAGCAGTCGCCCATGGGCCAATGGGAAATCCATGTCTCTCAGTGACATGATGGCCTGGAACGAGTCAATTGCTTGAGATGCTCTCATGCTGGAGCCTGGACTTTGGTCCTTTCCCGTAATCTGAATCCGAGTGGATCTGGGAGGTTAAGCGGCTAAGCCAATCAGTAACGATCAGCAAAGGCTTCGAAAAAAACAACTATTTTTGCAAAGGGCTTCTTGATTGCTACCCAATATCATCCACGGTTGGCAGTATTGGGCGTATGATATCTACCTATATACACGATAATGCACGATAAATGCTTATATAACCCCCCAACTAAATAGATGGAAAAGTGGATCGATACTGAACATGTATCGGACCACCGTTCCTATCTATTTGGGGACCACTATCATAATGCTTACACCATTATTTGGGCCCTGCAAAAACCGCCATTGCCATCGCCCCAGGCCGGAAATCATGGCACCCGGACCTGCCAGGTCTGATATGATCATCCCACAAATGATCGCGATAAAGAGCAAGGCCACAAGGCCCCCACCTCCAAGGGGAAGAATCAACATTGCTTGCACATGAATATGAGCTGTATATACATGTCATACACACAGCCAATATCTGAATTTTGGGCATGAGTGATTTTGCGGGGAAGCCCTTAAAACCGCGAGGTCGCCCTGCAAACCGCCGCTGACGTCGTTGGAAGCGCCTCAGGGAGGTTCGCCTCGGCGGGCGCTGAGCGCGGCACGCGGCGGGTGCTGTTGGCCTCGGAGTGGCCGATGGTGTGCGATGGCGATTGGCTGGACTTCGGGAGCGAGACCAGGGAGAACGAGACGAGGAAGACTGGGTGTCCATGTGATCCAGATTGGCCGCCTGTGAGGTGTGCAAAGGAGCTGATGAGTGGAGTTTCTTTACCGCGGATCACGTTGGAGGAAGCCTGCGGTCAAATCCAAGATGCGCCGGCACTGGTGAGAGATGCTGCCCTTTTGCCAGGTGAGACAGAATCAAAACCTTCCGTTTGACATCAATTGACCAATGATTGATATAGAATCTCGATTATGATTATAGGATGCAAGGCACGAAGATTGAAGATACTGGGGCGTGGAATTGTCCTCATATTATGCACCCTGTTAAAAACACTCTTTAGTAATGCTCTAAGCTTTTTTCCCGAAGGGTTCTCGTTTAACTCTGGGGGTCTGGGGGTAGCCTTGTTCGCGACCCGTTGTCTCAGCGTTCGCAACCGTCCTCAACCGACCGCAACCGTTCGCCGCTGTCCGCATGAGGACGCTAAGGCCGCTGCCATTGGGGGAAGGTTTTGGAGAGGGTTTGGCATGGAAGCGTGATGTGTCAGATTCGTGTGAAATAGCGAGGAAACGTGTGGTAATGTTTTGTGAGATCCGCGCAGTTACATTGGGATTAGCGTTTGGAGAGTGGTGCTTTTGGGGTGTTGGATGTGGCTGTGCCATTGGGATTTGCGTTTCAGGTGTTGCATCGAAGGGTCCTTCGGGCCGTTTCGCGTTAGACGTATGGATACGGAAAGTTTCGTGGCAGGCGCAGGGAGTCGTGAGGTTGCAAGTTGTGGTGGTGAATGTCGCTGTGACATTGGGATTGGCGTGTGAGCGGGCGTTGTTTGGAGGGGCTGGAATCGCGAAGCTGCTTGGCAGGGGTGCTTGATGTGTGTCTGTGCTTTGATGGGGCTTCCCTGACTTTTGGAAGAAGTCTCGTACCAAATGCTCGTTTTGGAGACTTTGACATGTGAGTTTTGGAGGAAGTCTCGTACGAAACGCTCGTTTTGGAGACTCGACGCGTGACTTTTGGAGGAAGTCTCGTACGAAACGATTGTCTTGCAGACTTGACGCGTGACTTTTGGAGGACGTCTCGTCCGAAACGCTTGTTTTGCAGACTTCAAGTGTGAGTTTTTGAGGAAGTCTCGTGCGAAGCGCACATTTTGGAGAACTTGACGAATTACAGTATTTTTGGAAGAAGTCTCGTGCGAAATGCTCGTTTTGGAGACTTGACGCGTGACTCTGGGAGGAGGTCTCGTACGAAGCGCTCGTTTTGTAGACTTGAAGTACAACAGTGTCCGACCAGAGTGTCCTTCGAGAGTGTCCCACAAGGTGACTGCCTTGGCACTTCGGATATTTTTTATTTTTCCTTAGCTTGTTGACTTTTACTGACTGCTATTATGGTGATTGTTGTTGTTGTTGTTGTTGTTCATTCGCCCGTTCACGTTGCTGGTTTGGGTTCCATTTCTGAAGCGCCTCGCCTTCTTTGCTCTGTCCTTGCCTCAGATCGGTAATTCACTTTTTAGTATGCAGTCACTATGTATTCATGGTTTGTTTTTGGAGCGGTCCTTTGCAGTCCTTGCGGTCCTGTGCGGTCCTTGCGGTCCTTGCGGTCTCAGGCATGGACCTTTGCTGCTTTCCTTGTCATTGTGGTTGGGCATGCGCTTGATTAGGCGTGGAATTGTGGAGGGGCTGGATGCTTGGATGCGGTGAAATCATGCTTCAGTTTGGCATTTGGAGAGGGGCCACTGGTGAAGCATCATTCCAATACATTGAAGCATGGTAGCATGGTAGCAATGGTTGGCACATCTTGGCTTAAGACAGTCATCCAGAGTGCCTTGCTTCTTGTCGCCCCCTGCCCTTTTCAGCCATGGAACCTGCTGTGCCTGCTGCTGGGGATGCCCCAGCGGTCCCAGCGGTCCCAACGGTCCAGCCAATGGCTGACCCGGTGCAGCCTGGGGAGCCTGTGGAGCTTGCGGAGCCTGCAGTGCCTGCTCAACCAGAGGCGCCAGGTTTGGAAGAGTGGCTGGACCAGGTGGATGACAGAGCGTCCGTTGCACCTTCTCACGGAAGGCAGTCTGTGATCACTGCTGATCCAGTGGCAGAGGCAGCTCGACAGGCGAACCTCCAAGCCCAGCGTGAGATTGTGGAAAATGTGGTGACTCTTCTCCGAACTCCTGCGGTCAGCACACAGCTTTTGATGCTTGAGCAGGACGAAATCCAGCGCTTCAGTGTGGCATTCCACCAGGCGCCCCCTTTCTTTCGGCAGACGTATCAAACCCAGCAAAACTTCGCATGGGCCCTGGCTGGATTCAATTGGGTGGTGGGCAGCTTCTACCGTGGTGGTGAGCGAAGCAACGAGACCATTGCAGAGATCTGCGCAGGTTGCTTGCATGCTGATGGTCGTGGTTAGTTTATTAGTGTTATCTTTAGAGTTATTATCCAAGTACTATTCTGCTTGGTGAAGATTAATTTCATGGTTCAAAGAGTGAAAACGAGGTCATTTGTTTCTATTTTCCTTCAACTTCACAACTGAATGTCACCATTGGTGATCACATGACGCAACTAAGAACTGTCCATGTCGGAGGGCACGCTCATCGATGAAGCATGCGACCTGCTCAGCAGAATGCCCCCTTTGGCTCAGATTCCGCAGAAGTGGGTCCGAGTGCCTTTGGCCTGAGTGTGTAGTCACATTTGAATAAATTTGAATGTAAATGGTTTTGGTTTAGCTGTGCCAAGGCCGTGCATTTGTGATTGGAGACAATACCAGACTTTGTTGCAATGTTTTTTGAATTTAAGTGTTACAACCCTTACTGATTACTGTCTACCTGCTGACCTGCTTCAGGTGGCGGCTGCTGTGAAAGAGCAGCTTGAGCAGTTCACATTGTCCCAAACCTCCTCTGGTGGCATCCACAAGTGCTTCATTTTGATCTATCCGTACGTCATGAACGGCTGTGCAAGGGGGTACCAGCTTCGTGGAGTTCAGGACTCACGCCGAAATCAAGTTGAATCAAATGAAATGAATCAGTCATAATTTCAATATTGATTGGTATGGCCGGAAATCATATATGATTTAGATATGGATTTTGATTTTGACTAGTTACTGTTTTGATTTTGACTAGTGTCAAGCCGATCATGGCTAATAGTAAGCAAAGTATGCGGTGCTTTCATGGAGTATGTTGTATGCCCTCAGAATGATGATTGGGCTGGCTGGGCTTTGCCAATGAACAATGAGGGTTACTTGCTGCATTTGGCACTGTACTGCCGCGACGTCTTGAATTTTGCGGAAGCTTTCTTGGAGCGAACCCAGATTGGCAACCACCGCGCTGGACCCAGGTGTTTGGATGGCTTGGTTCAGCATGCCCAGCAGATAACTAGCCTGGAAGACCGCAACAGGGCCATCATCCGGGATTCATTCTTCTTGCGTGGCTTTGGACCAGTGAGGGATCTGCAGCAACAGGTGGGTGTGCAGTACACAGCAGTGTCGGCCCAGGTGACCCGCAACGAGGATTTGGCCATTGTGCACCGCCTGGAACCTGGCACCCTTCAGTTCTTCGCTGCTGGATCGCAGCCTGGACCTGCTGCCCGCAGTGTTTGGCTCAGTGCTGAGGGTGGCGGTTGGTTCTATGTGGTGACGTACAAGCAGGCCATCAATGCACAGTCTCCCTTCAAGACCCCCGATTGGATCCTTCAGGCACGGAAGTTTCAAGAAAAGTTGCTTTATGTCAGTTTCCTGGATGTTGGTGTGTTTACTTGTACTTGTGTGGCTGTTGTTGTCGTTGTTGTTGTTGATGATTGATGTTTTTGTTATTGTTGTTGTTGTTGCTGCTGATTTTGCGATCAATTTTCGGGTTCTTATGTTGAAGGTTTTCAAAGGATTTGCAATTTTGAAATTCATAAACCCTGTCAGTGCGAGTGCCTCAAGGGGGATTTTGTGGACGAGGCATGGCACTGCAGACCTGGCTCCCGCAAGGAAGTGAGCATGGTGTGGACTGGCAACAACGCAGACGACTTTGAGCTCCTGTGGGATGGAATGCAAGTTGAGCTTTGGCTTAAGTTGGAGTTCGGTCAACTTGCGTTGGCTGATTGGGTCATAATTGAAGTTTTTATTTCTGACAGATTTGGATTGATGGCAGCCAGGGAATGCGATCAGGGCTGTGAAGCTCTGATCATATCATTTTTTTGATGGATGCCACCCTTGACCTTCGCAGAACGAAGTCATGCACGGTGATGGCTTTGCGGCTGGTACGTGAAGTGGACGCAAAGGGCAAGCCATTTGCCTTGCATTTGGCTCGTTGCAATCAATGGCCACGTGGACTTGGCAGTGGGTTGGTGGAAAGCGGCTTCCAAGGGGCTAGGTACTGTGTGGAGACGCTGCGGGACACTGGCGACATGCGGGAGGCCGTGAATGCCCATTACCAGCGGTATGGTGGCCGCTCCAACTGGTCTGGGTGGCAGAGAGGAGGCCGTGGCGGTGGCGGATGGGATCGAGATGATACTCCTGTGGTGGCAACAGAGTATATCCCACCAACCAATTGGTTTCCAGATCAGCCACAGCCTGCTGCTTATCAGCTGAGAAGCAGCCTCAGCCTGCTCAGGAGCCACAGCCGCAGTACCAGCCTGACCCGCACCCTCATGACCCTTGGATGCCAGATGCCTGGCGCCAGTGACGTCTGAGCGTATGAGCGGTCATTTTGATCTTTGGGCCACGCACAGGGAAGCAAACTTGGACTCGGTCATGTCATGTCATTTCAACTTGGACCCCAAACTTCAATTTTGGCAGCCAAAATTCATAATGAGGACTGATTTGAAGTAGCCTAATCAATGCTTCTTCCCTGGTGCTGGTAGGGCGCTGGCTTCGTTGGAAACCGCGCTGCCGGTTGATTTTGCAGTAGCGGGCCCAGCGGTCCCAGCCCTCCCAGCGGTCCATCTTCCAGCGACATTGAAATGGAAAGAAAAATATGAGCAGGCGCAGGGAAACTCTCGGATGTCATTCAGCTTTTCATTTTTCCATGGTCCACTTCCCTTGGTGCCGGGCCTTGCATTTGAAGCAGCATTTATCATGGCCAGTGCATGATCCAATGCATTTGATTTATGATTTTTAATGAATGTTTGTCGGCCAGCAGCGCTTTGCATTTTTGTGACGAAACAATGCTTTCATTAGTCTGTTGTGCCAGGCGGAAATTCCGGCCTTGCGGCTTCCATGGCTGGTGGATGAGGTGACAGTGTTGTGGGAA